AAAGCATCGAGGATGTAGTGAAGAGAACAAAGAACATCTGACTTCTTGTCCACCTTTTCAACTCAACGATACGTCCTGCCCTAGCGTCCCCTATACGTCCTTTCGCGAATTACAAAACCAAAATGTTTCGCTTAGTAACCTGCCATGAAAATTATAGAAGGCAGAAAGCAAAACGTTAGACATTGTGATTTCAACTACAGCCATAGCTTAACTGGGTTCTATGCCGATTTGCGCTCCCCAGATCAACCCCGCTGACGGGTGATTGCTGTGGCAAAAAGATCGATAGAAATAGCTGAGAGACGTGCGCAACAAAGGACCCGCATGGTGTGGTGGTGAACGCGTTAGTCCCCGGAAAGGATAATAGCGCGTTCGTTCCCCACCATAGACACCTGCGGTCCAGAGTTTTGCAAATATCTCAGCAACGTTGTGGTTGTATTTCGCTTATTAACCTGCCATGAAAATTATAGAAGGCAGAAAGCAAAACGTTAAACAAAACCAAAATGATTGCACTCCAACCTCCAGACGGAACAGTTACGGTGTCCAGAGAGACAATGGAGAAAATCGTTCACGAATGATACTCAGATCTCTTCGTTAGCCACGCCCACCTTTCGTCATATGAAATAAAGGAGAATGGTTGTGTTGTACTACCGGTTCTCCCTCCCCACTGGACAGGATAAGGCTAGAACACCTGAAGAACCCTTCGTCAGTCCTACTAAACACGATGGTTCGACTCTCCACACGTTACCTGTCTAAATGCAAGGTTCCTACTCAATGGAAGACCAGCGAAACCGTTTTATTGTTCAAGAAGGGTGACCTGCATGATATCAGCAACTATCGCCCAATCTGCTCACTGTCCGTCGTCTATAAACTTTTCACTCGAGTCTTCCTAAAGAGGATTGTCAGGACACTTGACGATGGGAAGCCGTGCGAGCAAGCAGGGTTTTGAGATGATTTAGCACGACGGACCACATCCACACGGTAACACGGCTCATTGAAGTATCGCGAGAGTGCAAAAGACCGCTCTGTCTCAGTTTCATCGATTTACAGAAGGCCTTTGATTTAGTTGAGATAGGAGCAGTCTTGGAAGCCCTTGATAGTCAAGGAGTCCCTACTCAGTACACAAAGATTCCTCGTGAACTGTACAAAAATTTCCCCAACCAAGACATCACCATTCTACATTGATATTAACATTGACGTCAAAAGAGGAGTTAGGCAAAGCGATACCATCTCGCCCAATTTATTTACCGCCACCCTCCAGAACGTCATGCGAACATTGGAATGGGATAATATGGGAGTGAAAATCGACGGTCGGCAGCTACACCTTCTTCGCTTTGCTGATGACATCGCCCTTATAACACCAAACATTAGCCAAGCGGAACTTATGCTTGACGACTTTGATAAAGCCTGTGGAAAGACTGATCTACGACTTAATCTCACAAAAACGATTTTTATTGGGGAACGTATTGGTTTCGCATGCCCTGTTCATGCTCAACGGAACGAATATCTCTGAATGCTCCAGTTATATCTATCTAGGTTGGAAAATCCTTACCTTTTTGACTTTTGAGTGAAACTGAGAAACTCTTTTGAGTTTTTTGAGGCTAAATAAAGTTTATTTACAAATAAACTGAAAAAAACGAATTAAGGTCAATGTTCTTCGTCAACTCTACACCTCCTTCACCCAATGCATTTCTGTGTAAGCGTTAAGGGTCACGGATTAATGTATATGCATGAGATTTTGATTGTGTGAATGCACCATGTTGAAAAGGCTAAAAGGGTAATCAAAGGACTGGAGACAACTAAAAGTCATCTCAACCAAATAAGTAGCACATCTATTTACGAAGAATGTGACAAAATACTCATAAATACTGATTAGCCTCACAGAAGAGCGTAGCAAGTTACCGTTCATACCTCTCGCAGAACATTAAACTCTCGAGTTTGACGACTAGTATGTGCTACTTAAATCTAAGGCCATTTTAGGACTCCACAATCAGGAACAACTATGTTGGAGATTTATAATTAACTTACAGCAGCGAGCATAAGAAAATTCCATTTACGATCTAATCACAAAAGCTAAAGAGATAAAGCATGACGTTATCAGATACAGAAGACGAAAATATATTACCCACTGTTTACAATGGTGAAGAAGAGTAATTGGTAAGCCAATGTGGCACCAGAGAACATTGTGCAATTGGCATTTTCGTCTAAAACGAACTTAAGCTTGGATAAATTCGTTTGCACTGCTTTACAGCGGCCGGAGCGAATAGGCTGTTTAAAAATTTTTTTACACGACCCATCTTCACATCTACAGCGCAGATCTTAGTACTTCTCACCTTCGATTCGTTTCCACGCATCAATCATCCACGAAGCTCATCGAAGGTTTTAGGTGCGCCTTTGAATGATGCTTGGGAATTGTTGTATTCTTTATTGATGTCGTTAAACGATGGTCGTGTGGACTGCCCATAAAGTCCTGGAATAGACGGCGTAAACCGTTCCCACCTTATTTGTAAACAGTGAAGTGTTCCCAAACAAGTCTAGGAGCGATTTCATTACCCCGAATAACGACGGCACTGGTGAGTCCAAATCAGTGTCTAATCAGCAACCTGATTGTGATGAACGGAATCACTTCAACTACGCTACCTACCCTATACTCTCTAAAATATTTGGGCCAAACCATGCTTCGACAAGCCGCGTCAGCCACGTGCCTCAACATCAAGATAAAATAAAGATGAAGTCAGAAAGTCACGCATGAACTTGTAGATCCTTAACAGGAATATTTGTACCTTACACAAGTTCATCCAAACTTAAGCGTAGAGAATGGCTTCTAAAAACAATTGATGAAGTTTGAATCGAGACTTACTGCAATTGAAGAAATATTCTGATAAACTCCTAACATCACCATGACACCAAAGGTTATTCACAATGAATTAAAGCCCTAGATTTCTTATTTTCGAAGCTGGATATGTAAGCAGACCAGCAAGGAGCACATAAAAAATTGACCTTCTACTTCGACTTCGACTACCTTCGACTGTTTGGCGTACAAAACGGTATCTATAATTTTGGATCGTTGGCACAGGTCAGAGCTTCGGGTCCCTTCTCTTACTTGTATGGAACGGGATGCTAGTAGCATCGTCCTTTCAACTGCTCGTTCGCTAACTCTGAGTGACCTCTCAATCTGCTTACGCATTGACCAGGTTTCTGACGCATACGCTAAGGCAGGACGTATCGTTGAGTTGAAAAGGTGGACAAGAAGTCAGATGTTCTTTGTTCTCTTCACTACATCCTCGATGCTTTTGAATGCTTCCCAAGCCGCTCGTTACCTTCTGCTCATCTCTGGAGCTAGGTCGTTTATCATATTGATTTCCCAACCTAGATAGATATAACTGGAGCATGCGAAGATATTCGTTCCGTTGAACGTGAATGGGGCATGCGAAACCAATCCATTCTTCACGACCATCGTTTTTGTGAGGTTTAGTCGAAGACCGAACTTCTCACAGGCTTTATCGAAGTCGACAAGCACTCGCTGCGCTTGGATAATGATTGGTGTTATAAGAACGATGTCATCAGCAAAACGAAGAAGGTGTAACTGCCGATCGTCGATATTCACTCCTATATTATCCCATTCCAATGTTTGATGACGTTTTGCAGGGTAGCGGTAAATAATTCTGGTGAGGTAATATTGCCTTGCCTAACTCCTCTTTTAACGTCAATGTTAATATCGTTGTGGAATGGTGACGTCTTGGTTGTGAAATTTTTGTGCAGCTCACGAAGAATCTTTATGTGCACAATAGGGACTCCTTGACTGTCAAGAGCTTCCATGACTTCTTCTATATCAACTGAGTCGAACGCTTTCTTTAAATCGGTGAAAGTGATGAAGAGCGGTTTTTTGTAGTCTCGCAACACTTAAATGGGTCTTGTTGTAGTATGGATGTGGTACATCGTACTAAATCCTTTTCGAAACAGTGCTTGCTCAGACGACTAACTTCCGTCCAGTGTTCTGCCACTCCTGTTTAGTTTGTAGACGAGTTTGTTTTGTAAGTTTTTAGATTCGAATGAAGAGTTTGTAGACGACTGACAGCAAGCAGATTGGTTGATATTTTCAAATATCGTGTAGGTCACCCTTTTTGGACAGTAATACGGTCTTGCTTCCGCTTAGTAGGGACCTTACATTCGGACAGGTAACGTGTGAAGAGCCGAGCCAGTGTGTTTACGAGGATCGGCCGAAGGTTCTTCAGACGTTCTGGTCTTATCCTGTCCGGTCGTGGTGCTGTTCGATTTTTCACTAACGAAATGGCATGTCGGATTTCGGAAGGGAGAACCGGTGGTACAACATATCCATCCTCCTTTATTGCATATGGCGGAAGGTGGACGTGGCTTTTGGAATTTAGCGGCTTTTTCTCCTTTCCGCGGCAAATAGAATCTTACACGAAGAAGACGATGGTCTGATCCTGTGTATAATTTTGGAACAACAGCTACATTGGTTAGGCAAAACCTTCTATTTACTATGATGTGGTCATATGAAAGGCTTCGACTTTTTCTTCGTCATAGTTTGATGTCGGTGCGTAAAAAACGACGATTGTCAAAGGCGGAATTGATTCACGTCTTCTTAATCGTAAACGTCCGATTCGGGTTGTTAGTTGTTCGATTGAATCGATGTTCGTGGACAAACTCGTGACGAGAACGCCGACGCCGCCGACTCTTCTCCTGTCGTATGTTCCGAGGAGCAGTTCTTCTCCGGTGTTATAGACGGCGTTGAAAGACTGGCGTCTTCTCGTCTCGGCCAGGTTGATGTTGTCGTACTTTATCTTTCTTGCTTGCATAAGCAAGTGTTCTACTGAGGACTCGGAAGCAAGTGTACGTGCATTGTAGGTGCTGATCGTCACCATAGTTCTTTGAAATCCTGGCGGCTTCCATTTTTCCTGAAATTTTAGCAGCCTCGCCGTACTCGTCCTACCCAACGCTGCGAAATTGGGGACTCTTTCGGGGTCAGGGAAATGAGGCTCATTTTTCTTACTGTTCAGCTTTTTGATACCCACGTATAGCCCGCTGAACCCTGAACGTGCGACTGGGTGTACTCACTAGTAGCTTTCCAGTCTCTCCCAAAGTGGAAGTGGAGCTTATTTGTTGGAGGCGATTCCAAACCACCTCCTATATAATACCCGGCCACTTGGTTGCAGGCTTTTGGCAGAATTGACTCGTGAAATATAATCTGCATAAACTACTGCGCACCCATACAGACGTGCATGAATACCACTAGTAAACACGGAAAGTTTGTGCTAAATCGGCCAGCAGAAACAGGGAGCCCGTCCCCTGGATGCCCCTTCGTCTCAGGAAAACAACGGTCGCTTTCGGTCCGCGATTAACTCCCTATTCACCACACGGAGACGTGCCACGTAGCATCGCGACTAATGGACTCGTGATCCGTTATATGAGGGAGATTTGTTGATGTTTGGAAGTACATGTGGAAAAAGTTATTAAGAAATATCGAAAGACCTCAGAAAAAAGGCAATCAAAGACAGCTTTGCGAATATGCTGGTATCGAGAATCGCGTGAATAATAACTTGGAAGAGTTCAATGCGATGAATCACATCAACACGACTACGAAACCTAGTAAGGTTCTTCGGATAAAAAAAGTCGAAGGATTCGATCGTGGAACATGGCCATGAGAGGATTCGAACATTAGGACATGCTTGGTCGGTGGATAAAAAACCTTTATTCTTTCACGGTTTGTAACGAAATTGCACAACAATTGTATCGTCACCTTGCGATGAGAACACCACCAACCTGACAACCTTGACAACCTCAACAACGGACTTCCACACAGCGGTATCATCTCGTCAAAAGCGTTAGAAAGACAGCATGGCTCAAAACAATAGAGTTCACTATTAGGATGTGCCGAGGAATACACGCAGTAATGCGGAACTGAGGTGGACCTCATTTTCCGTAGGACTTTTCAAGTCATTCATCAATTACTTGTTTTGCATCACAGCTCATCAATAATTTATTTCTCTTCCTCTTGTTGCTACTTTCATCTCGATGCAATACCATGAGATTCTGCACGTTCAATATCCTCATCCTACAGTCCTGCTTCCGGAGTTTCGAGTACGTATGTTCAGTAACAGAAAAAGGAGAAAACACCAACGCGATTGTGAAAGCGGAGAAAATACCGACCCGACCCGATGGTTATATTTTTTTTACGATGAGTGGAGAACTAAAATATGTTTCCCTTTATGCCCCTTCAGCTCTGAATCCACTGTAACACAGTGACATGGTGGAAAAGAGACTTTACTAATGCGTGCTTGAGACGGCGGTTATTTGGCAAGTGGAGCTGGTATAAGTAATTTATATAGTTTGGCCAGAAGTGGCTTAACGAATTAAGTTGCATAGAACTGTTGCATGTGTTCTGATCCGTTTTATAAATATGCTCTTGCAGTTTGTATACTGAATCCTCTCAAACATCAACATCACTTTTCCTAGAAGGAACTTCAAGACAGCGCAGTTATTTTTCTAAATTATTGCTATCATCACAGGTAGCTGCAAATTACAACGTTGCACGTAGCCTCGCGACTTACCGGCTCGAGATCCCTCATATGAGGGAGATTCGTGGTCAACCGACGAAACAGACAAATGCGGTACCAATTTCCCGATCCTGGAAGTATGAGAGGCCTGGTGGGCCCTTAGCGGGATTGGACTCGCACCATGCTCGTCATCACGGACATTACTATCACTGTGCTCTCTGCCCCATGTAATGTGTTGTAACAGAAGGTTGCACGAAATGCTTATATTTCGGAGATTTTTGCAAACACAATGATCGTCTATGAAAGAACTATGTTCTATCAAACACTTATTTTCTCATTACTACAGCATATATCGTTGTTCGTCGTAGATAACTTGATAATGGAGTAGAGTAAAATTTCAAAAGAAAATGAAAATCTGGAAGGCGGTATTCTGGTTTGAGAACGCTCTTTAATAGGGCTTCCCTCGACACGCCTCTGTAACGGGACTGTTTTTCGGTTTTTTCCCAATATGCACTTGAAAAGAGAGAATTTGTGCTGTTTAAGAAAAAAAAACCACGTGTTTTCCAACTGAAGTGCTCATTAGTTCATCAAGGGTGCCATGATGCCGAAATCTGTAGGAAAATAGGGGGTAAGAACTGATACATGAATGAGGCATTGCACCAAACTTTGTTTATGTTGACCTTTTTCAGTTATTTTTTAAAGTGGAATGCATTGAAGCATTCTTAGTGATATTTCAGGCGTTATGCGTATGAGGGATGGAAGTGGTCACATTTTGCAAAGTGTGAAGAATAGCTTGCATTACATCTAATAAACCCATTCATAGTATCACTTCAATCTTAATATTGGTAGATCACAATCGGC